TCTCCTTCTCCTCCTCCTCTTCTTCTCCTTCTCCTCCTCTCCTCGTCCTCCTCCTCCTTCTTCTCCTCCTCCTTCTCCTCTCCTTCTTCTCCTTCTCCTCCTCTCCTTGTCCTCCTCCTCCTCCTCCTTGTTCTCCTCCTCCTTCTCTCCTTCTCCTCCTCCTCTTCTTCTCCTTCTCCTCCTCTCCTCGTCCTCCTCCTCCTTCTTCTCCTCCTCCTTCTCCTCTCCTTCTTCTCCTTCTCCTCCTCTCCTTGTCCTCCTCCTCCTCCTCCTTGTTCTCCTCCTCCTTCTCTCCTTCTCCTCCTCCTCTTCTTCTCCTTCTCCTCCTCTCCTCGTCCTCCTCCTCCTTCTTCTCCTCCTCCTTCTCCTCTCCTTCTTCTCCTTCTCCTCCTCTCCTTGTCCTCCTCCTCCTCCTCCTTGTTCTCCTCCTCCTTCTCTCCTTCTCCTCCTCCTCTTCTTCTCCTTCTCCTCCTCTCCTCGTCCTCCTCCTCCTTCTTCTCCTCCTCCTTCTCCTCTCCTTCTTCTCCTTCTCCTCCTCTCCTTGTCCTCCTCCTCCTCCTCCTTGTTCTCCTCCTCCTTCTCTCCTTCTCCTCCTCATCTTCTTCTCCTTCTCCTCCTCTCCTCGTCCTCCTCCTCCTCCTTCTTCTCCTTCTCCTCCTCCTCCTCCTTCTCCTCCTCCTCCTCCTCCTCCTTCTCCTCTTCTTCTTCTCCTTCTCCTCCTCTCCTCGTCCTCCTCGTCCTCCTCCTTCTCCTCTTCTTCTTCTCCTTCTCCTCTTCTCCTCCTCCTCCTCCTCCTCCTCCTCCTTCTCCTCCTTCTCCTCTTTAGTGCAAGCATGGAGAAATCCAGCATTCAGGGAGTGCATTTCTGCAGAACAGGTTTGTGGGCTTACTGATTGACCACAATCAGATGGGGGGGAAACTTCAGCCCGTCTTGTTAAAACACACTTATTTTTTCCCCCAGGTTTGGAGAGCTCCCCCTAACCTCGGCGGACCTCCCTAGAGCCCTGCGGTAGCCACGGAGCCTGCCACGCGTCGGGTCCCCCCCTCCTCCGCCGCCCTCATGTGAGAGACCGAGAGAAGAGCGATGAACGTCTCCCTCCGCCTCTCCACGATCCACAGCCTGCTGGAGTTCCTGAACGGAGACAACCTCTCCTTCCCCGGCCCGCTCAACGGGAGCCGGCCGCTGGGCTGGGAGGAGCTGGAGAAGCTGCTCTTCCTGTTCGACAAGGACCCCGTGGCCATCTGCCTGACCGCCATGTACCTGGTCTCCTTCGTGGTGGGCTTCGCGGGCAACGTCCTGTCGCTGAGGATGCTGACCCGGAGGAGGCCCAACCGGCGGGTGCCCAGCCTGCGCGCCACCCGGAGCCTCCTCATCAACCTGGCCGTCTGCGACCTCCTGGTGGTCTGCGTCTGCATGCCCATCACCGTGGGCAACCTGATCTACAAGGCGTGGGTCTACGGGGACTTCCTCTGCCGGGCCGTCCCCTTCGTCCAGGCGGTGTCCGTCTCGGCCAGCGTCCTCAGCCTCACGGGGATCAGCCTCAACCGCTATTACAGCGTGCACAACCCGCTCCACGCCAGGTCGTTCTTCACCCGCCGGAAGATCCTGGGCACCATCCTCGGGGTCTGGGTGCTGTCCTCGGGCATCTGCATGCCCCTCGTCTTCATGAACAAGAGGGACGAGATCGGGGTGGTGCGGGGCCTCCCCGTCGTGTTCCCCATCTGCACCGAGGTCTGGCCCCAGAAGAGGATCAAGCAGGCCTACAACTTCCTCCTCTTCTGCGCCCTCTACTGCCTGCCCGTCCTCTTCAACATGGTCATCTGCTGCCTGACCGTCCACCGGCTGTGGAGCCCCACCCGGCCGCCGAGGGACCGCGGCGCCCTCAGCCGGATCTTGCCGGCCTCCCGGCTGAGGATCCGCAAGAAGGTGGCCCAGATGGTGGTGGCCTTGGTCCTGCTCTTCGCCGTCTCCTGGCTGCCCATCTACATGATGGACCTCTGGATCGAGTTCCACAGCCCCAAGTCCTTGCAGGAGGGGGTCCCACCCCCCTGGGCCCTGCAGCTCCGCCCCTTCGCCCAGTGGCTCGGCCTCACCAACTCCAGCCTCAACCCGATCTGCTACTGCTTCGTGGGCAACGTCTACCGCTCGGCCAAGGAGATGAGGAGCAGGTACCACAAGAAGATGGCCTCTCTCCTCAGCTTCTCCCTGTCCGAGAAGAGCCTGCCTTCCTCCATCCCCGAGCTGCTCTCGTACAAGAGTTCCTCCAGCAAAGAGCTCAACGTTGTGGTGGCGACTGGAAATGAGTGCCAGGAGAACTGTGATCCTAGGACACAGGTGTGAAACTGCCCTTCTGGCTCTTTCTCTTCGAGAAATGCTACCTTCCATCCTGTGTGTAGTCCTCAGAGAGTGAGAATCAGGGGCTGTTAGAGACTAGTGGGAGCAGGGGTCATTTCATAGAAAAAGAGGGGCAGGAGCTCATTTGCATAACTCATTTGCATAACTCATTTGCATATGCCACACCCCCTGACATCACCGGAAGTGCGTCAGAAGGCAACACCCACCGCTCAGGCTCCACTGGACTGTTTTGGATTGCTAGCTATTGGGGGGGGGAACGTGCAGATCTGTCCTCACAGAGGAGGGAGAGCTTGTACCTGAATAAAACTTGGTCTTAAAGGTGCCACTGGACTGTTTTGGACCGGAGGGCCGGGGGGGGGGGGCTCTGCAACTTACCTGGCTACTTCTTGCTCTGCCTGGGGGCTTCTGGGAGCAGGGGGTGGGGCTTGTTGCATGTGCCTGCCCCCTGCTTCGCTCCTGTGCGCTCCTGCAGGAAATGACCCCTGAGTGGGAGGTCTCCATAGCATGGGTCCTCAACAGTGTTCCCTCTAAGCTGAGTTAGTGTGAGCTGGCGCAGTTTTGTAGCCTCCGGCTCACACATTTTTGTCTTAGCTCAGGGAGGAGGGCTCCAGAGCAAACTAATCTATGCAGCAGCCAAATCGCTCGCTCACCACTTTAATGCCAGGAGCTCACAAAGTAGAATTTTTGCTCACGAGACTCCACTGCTTAGAGGGAGCATTGGTTCTCAATGTTTTTGAGCCTTTGGGATTTTGGAACGGGGTGGTGGGCCCAGTCACAAAATGGCTGCCGCAGGAGGCGGAGACAGCCACAATATGGCTGCCACGGGAGGCGGAACCCAGCCACAAAATGGCCACCACAGGAGCCAGCCACAAACTGGCTGCTACGGGAGCCAGGACCCAGCCACAAAATGGCTGCCACAGCTAACCTTCAGTCACACAGTGAAGATCCTTCTACTGTGGTGGAAGCCTTTGCCAAAGCATTGTTTTTCAAAATCAGCATAGTCAGTCAAATCTCCAGTGGCCAATCAGAGACCCTGCTGGGCGAAAGCCCCACCTGACCCCGCCCACTTTCTAAAAACCCTTGGCAGGTCCCAGGAAAGGTGTTTGGTGGGCGCCACGTTGGGGACCTCTGTTCTACAGGCTCCTGATTGAGACTCCTGTCTGAACCTTGGGCTTTTGAAGAACATAGGAACTTCTAGTCCACAAAAGCAGGGAAGAGAACAGGAAGGGTAGGCAGGTGGCTTGTATATTCACTTCATCCACACCGACCCACAACTAGGGGGAAGAGAGCTCTTGACTTGGGGTCAGCCTACTGTCCGATCTCCGCCCCAGCCTGTACTTTCTACCTTGAGCGATTTCGAACAGGGAATTCATTTCCTGCCCAGCAAGCAAGAAGAGGTGGAGTGGATCATCCAGGCGAGGCGTCTTTGGCTTTCTTTCCCGGAACCCCAAACTCACCTTCGGCTCAGTCTGCAACATGAGGATGTGCTTCAAATTTTCTTAAACGATCTGTGCCGGTCCTTCTCCTTACCTGTGCGGGATGACCAAACGCGAAAGGATTTTTGTACCTTTTTGGGAGAAGCGGTTGGGGGGGATTGGGAAGGCCAAGCTTGTGGCGGGCAAAGCACCAGGCGCTGAAATTTCCCCTCCTAGGTGGCTACAGAAGGCAACTCCGGCCAGTTTTCCCAGGACACAACCCTCGGGGCACTGGCTGACCCCGTGTCTCCCTCAAGGCAAACCTATCCCATATTTTAACTATCTTTGACAGGCCCTGGTCTCACCTGTCCTTGGAAGAATGTCCGAGGAAGGCGATTGCCTCGCCTGCATTGACAGCTCACACCACTGCGTATGGGGCACCCATCTGGACAGTCAGTGACATCAGGCGCACTGCATAGAAGTACAGGGTCCAATCGGTTGCTTCCCTTTTCCCACACCCAGGCCTGGTGTCAGCATATGCTGAAACAGGGCAGGGCCGATGGATTCGGGCAGAGCCCACCGCTGCTGACTCCTGACTCATGCATTTCCTCACACGTCTGAACTCACACCCTTCCACTGCATGCTCATGGGTGCTTTCTCACCTGTGCTCCCAGCACAGGGCTGTAGGTGGGCAGGGGTGGCGGGGGGCAGTGCCCCCTCCCAATTCTGTGCTGCCCCATCTCCTAGGCCCCTGACCCCCCTACGCTCTCCTGTTGTCCCCTGGGCTGAATTAGAGCAAACAAATCAGGAGAGCAAAGCTTGACTAAATGAATGAATGACCAGAAAACTGGGATCGAATGGCAGGAAAGAGCAGATTCTCTCATTGCAAAGAACTGGCTTCTACAACTTCCTTTAGGAAGCTTGCAATGGCTTATGGGATAATTTCTCCAAAGCCCTGGGGAAAGTTTCCAAGACGCATCCTTGAGACCGAGACAGTGCAGAATAATGTTTGCAACCAACACACAGGGTAAGAACAGACATCGCCCCCCAGCCCTGAATGTGTTAAATTGTCTCACATCGACTAAGCCTCAGTAGAAGAAGAAGAAGAGAAGATATTGGATTTATACCCCGCCCTTCACTTGGAGTCTCAGAGCGGCTTACAAACTCCTTTCTCTTCCCCTCCCCACAACAAACACCCTGGGAGGTGGGAGGGGCTGAGAGAGCTCTGACACAAACTGCTCTTTTTCAAGGACAGCTGTGCCAGAGCTTGTGACTGACCCAAGGTCACATCAGCAGGTGCAAGTGGAAGAGGAGTGGGGAATCAAACCCGGTTCTCCCAGATTAGAGTCTGCACACTTAACCACTACACCAAACTGGCTTTTTGGTACTGTAACAGTCATTTGTTAAAATAGCGGTGATCTACTGGGCCCTTTGAGAACCCACAGTCTGCAAGAAGGAAAATTCTCGGTACTGGTTGTTGTGCTGGGGTGAACGATAAATGAAGTAAATCCGGCCTCAAGGTCTCTCCAAAAACAGACACCGGAGATCTTTCCTTAGACATGTTCCCTCTCCCCCCCAAAAAAACCCCAACCACCCCCTAAGCTCTACCTTTCCAAGCCAATTTGATTTGTCTCAACTGCCGTGGGTACGATCCATGCTCCGGAAAGCTCTCACGGCTTCAGTCGTAAAGAAAGCCGGTGGCTTGATTTAAAAAAGAAAAGAAAACAGTACTTTATTGCTAACTTTTTTAAAAAAAAAATAATCCCAAACTCAACAGCGATTTACACCTGCTGTGATATTCCTCTCCGGAGAAGGGCCTCGGAGCGATTCATCTCTCTTCAAAGGCAGCTTCCAGAGAGCGCCCGGTTTGATTTTCTCTTTCAAAGGAAGCCTGCGCGGAGATTAGGGCGGCCATCCAGCGAAAGGTTGTTTGAAACAGAACTTTCAGCCCAGTAAATCGCATTTGGTTGACCACGACGCAGAGTGCTGTTTTTAATCTAAGCGCAAGCTTGCTGGATCAAACCCCACCCCTCCAAAAAAAATCCAGCTGGCCCAGTATTCTGTTGCCTGCCAAATGCTTTTTTTGCGTTCAGAAGTGGTGTATGTATGTGTGGGGAGAACATGAGAGGGTTTGTCCCCAGCATCTGAAAGTTCTCAGAGGGTCGCTATCCCACCGAGTGTACTCGCAGCAAGCCCAGCCAAACGTCAGCCCTGAGAACCACAGGAACTGCTCGGCTCATGGCTGTCACACAGTAATGACAACCAGTGCTATAAGCTTTCCTGTTTTCTCCTCCCATCCCAGCAGGGGAGCCCATGGCTGTTCTCATGGGCACCACTCGATATTTCCAAGCTCAGTTGGAAGCCGTTCGGCTCGACTTGCTGCCAGACTGTTGTTAAGGGGGCCCCATTCGCCCTTGAGAGGTATCCTGGCCCTGGTTATGAGTTTCCTGTTTTGGCTACTGTGCTTAAACAGCCTGTTCTCTGAGTAGAGACCTCCAAGGGGACAAGCCCAAAGTCCTGGCTGCTGGGACTTCAAGACACTCCCTATGAGATCCGCAAAAGCTCCCAAAGGCTCGAAAACGTTCCTCATCACCTTTCTTGTTGGAATGACACATCCCCCCTCTGGTAGGACCTGTGCCTATCATTCACGTCTCCAAGCGGTCATGACCTTGCCTCACGCTAGAGTTCCCACTGGCAGACTAGAGATTGTTCTAATATTGACCAGTGGCCCACGCACCAGGAGGGGCCATAGCTCAGTGGTACAGCATCTTCTTCGCATGTGAGAAGGTCCAAGATTCTATGTCTAGATCTGACCTGAGCCACGGGAGAGCAGCTGCCAGTCAGAGTAGACAATACCCATCTTCTTCTTATTAATAATAATAATAATAATAATAATAATAATAATAATGCTTTCGATTTATTAATCGCTTTCCCCACAAGTGGGCTCAAAGTGATTTACAGTTACTCTTTAGACATGGGATTAATTAACAATGTTTCATAGGGCATAGGGAAGACAACATATAATTCATTTAAATTGCACACTGCCCGGTGGAAACGTTTCTGGCTTGGCTCAGTCATTTTCCGAACGGCTGCGTTTCGACCGGCTTGATGACGTTGGGGCTTTCAGGGCCCGTATGTTGTGTTGCCACACTGCCACCGCCTGGCCGAAGCATCCCACTGCAGGGATTTTCGTAGCCGAGAAGATTCTTCCGCCTTTCCGGAACCATGGACCAGGACGTCTCCAACCGACAGCTAACACCTTCCCAGCGGGGGGAGTCGGTGTGCCCACCCTCTCTAAGGAGTGGTTCCCATTTTATCTACTCGCCGAGGCTTTCAAATCGCTGGGTGGACGATGAGCTGGGGACAACAGGTTGGCTGCTCACACCAGCGCGGGGCTCGAACTGACACCGTTCGGATGTTAAGGCAGTGGGATATACCCACTGTGCCACTGCTACCCTTGTCCAATCTTGTCCAAGGTTCTATGTCCAGGATCTCCAGTTAAAAGGATCAGGTAGTGGGTGGTGGGAAAGATCGGACCTGAGCCACAGGGGAGCGGCTGCCAGCCAGAGC